TAAATAACGTTTCAAATATAGACTCCAACTTAAATGATCCAATGTTCTTAGGCACGCAGTTTGTGATCGAAATAAACTGCGCGCCTAAGTAGGCGCGCGCAGCTTGACATGGGCACCGTGATATTGATATTGCTTGCATACCTAAGTAAAAATAAACTCTTCTAATCCCCTAATGTAAACACGGCGGTATACGTAGCCCGATTTATCGGGGGCTTTAAGTTGATCTCCTATTTAACTGCCAACAGTCAAATAAAAGTAAAGCAGATTTGTTTAACAAAAAAATTTTGTTTCTAGGGTTATTAACTTAATTATTCATAATAGAAATTAATTTATTAAATAAAGGAACAAAAGTATATAAAGTTGTGATTTTGATAAATTACAGAATCACTAATTATAATAATTTGGTTATCTTATTAACATTTATTAATGAAGATATTTCATGTAAAAAATACTTTTTGAACATGGTCTTTCATTGTATTTCACTGCATTGCAAGAAAGACCATTGCATTTCATTGCATATCATGATCAATCATTGTATTTCATTGCATTTCATGGTGAAACGTGGTATTTCATTGTATTTCATGATCCATTTTAACTCTGACCAATTTTAGACTTCGACACTCTTCTAGAGTTCTTTTGGCAATTAAATACCATCTGGTAGAACCATGGTATTTGATGGTCAGGTTTGACAATGAAATGCTATGAAATACAATCAACCACGGAATGCAATGATATGCCATGATAAATGATAGTTTAATGATTATGGCAATTGAATACCATGGTATGACCATAGTATTTGATGGTCAGGTTTGACAATAAAATGCCATGAAATACCACCAACCATGAAATGCAATGATAAAACCATGATAAATGAGAGTTATGATTTTGGCAATGAAATGACATGGTATGACCATGGTAATTGATTGTCACACGGTACAATGAAATGCCATGAAATGTCATCAACCATGATATACCATGGTAATACCATGGTAAATGATGGTCAGGTACATAACAATAAAATATCATGGTATGACCATGGCATTTGATTGTCACATCGTACAATGAAATACCATCAACCATGATATACAATGGTAATACCATGGTAAATGATGGTCAGGAACATGGCAATGAAATACCATGGTATGACCATGGTATTTGATTGTCACATCTTATAATGAAATGCCATCAACCATGATATACCATGGTAAATTATGGTCAGGTACATGGCATTGAAATACCATGGTGTTTGATTGTCTTACAATGAAATGCCATGAAATGCAATAAACCATGATATACCATGGTAATACCATGGTAAATGATGGTCAGGAACATGGCAATGAAATACCATGATAATACCATGGTATTTGATGGTAAACTTTGAACATGAAATACCATGAAACATGGTATAACATGATATACCATGGTCAAAAATTGACCAAAAAACATCATTGCCACCATGGTCAGAGTTGATGGTAATTTCATTGCCGATCATGATAGACCATGGTAAACCATGGTATACCATGGTATCATGGTTTACGTTTAAACATGGCAGGCATTTAACAAATTGCTTAACCAAAATATATGAGCTTAGTTCTTTAGGTTAGGAATAGGATTGGCCTTTTGGTCTTTTTCCTTTTAACAATCCTTACCTCTGTTTTACAAGGGAGTAAGTTACACAAACCAACAAAAAATGAATTAAATATATCAAGTCACATTGGCAAGAGTCCAGATATTTTTGGGATGTTATGTGAAAATTTCCTAAAAAAACCTTTACAATGAGAGCATTTTTCTATTAGGATGAGACATTAAAGACATTATGTATCGTCCTACTTGTATGTACAACTTTTGAGGACAAAGAACTAACACGTTTAAAAGTGATCGAATGCAATGTGATTATTTACATGTAAGCTATTAATGTTTCTTAATCACATGTAGGACTTAAACATAAACATGTCAAAGTGACTCAAATAGGACAGTTCTACCTCTCTCTCACTCACAACATACATCTTATCAAGTCGATTTTCACTGGAATTATTCAATTTTTTTCTATTCAACCGAAGCAAATCATTTTATTTTAATAATACCCCATTCTGATACTCAGTCCATCTCTGCTATGCACAAGAACTGAGAGAAGGCTGTGATATCTCACGATGATAATACCCACACTTTCCCCCAACTCCTTTTATCATGTTAATTAACTATGGACTATGGTGAATGAATTGTAGCTTGTTTTACCATTTGTTACATGTGAATGAATTGTAGCTTGTTTACCATTTGTTAATTATTCTCAAAATATTTCATTTCCTATGTTATTGTAATAGCACTTTCAGCATTCATTTATTTACCTGTTTATAACAATTGCTTTATGATACAAGTGTAAAAGTCAAGGGTTGCCCGATGTCATTCATAAAGAATAATTGTTTTTTTAACTACTACTCCCTTTCCTTCCGCAGGTTTATGTGAATGATAAACAGAAACCAAATTAAAAAAAAAAATTAGCTTCATCCTCAACATCGGCTTGGTTTTCCAGGACCAGTTGCGGAAACACGAAAATGGAAATAATAAGCTGGTCTCAGTAAATATTGCCTATTAGACCATGGAGTCTTAACGCCATCCTTTTACTACAACATACTACATACATTTGATTTTGTTTACTTATTATTATAGGGAATGCCTCCGTCCGTCCGTACGTACGTACGTACGTACGTACGTCCGTACGTACGTCCATAATACCGATGGGAATCGATCCGGCGCCATATATGGCAAACCTATACTTATACAGTTATGAATTTCAAGCCATTGAGAAAATGTATAGGGAAGACTACTCCAAAGTACTAAAATATGCTAAAACTACAAGATTCATCGATGATTTATGTACTATAAACAACGACGGAGAAATGGAGACTGATATGAAGAACATCTATCCTGAAGAACTAGTGTTAAACAAGGAAAATGAGAAGGATACAGAAACAACATTTCTGGACATACAAATGAAAATAGTAAATAAACAAATCACTACAAAACTATACGACAAAAGGGAAAACTTCAATTTCCAAATAGTCTCATATCCTGATCTATCTGGAAATATTCCTAGAAACCAATCTTATGGAATATTTATATCACAAATAATAAGGATTTCAAGAATCTGCAGTCAACTGGAAGATGCAACAAACAGAGTTACCAGCCTGGGAAATAAACTACAATGTCAAGGCTACAGGAGCAACATACTAAATTCGTATACTAAGAAAGCTATAACAAGAAATAAATGGATATGTACTAAATACAATATGCAGGAGAATATCATCATGAAGGACTGGAAAATTAATGAGAGAAGAGAACATTAACAAATGAATATGAAACAGTATCTTCTCCGCAAAGAGGGTAAACTAAGATGACAAATCAGCATAAGACCAACAGTAAGGGGAAGGGGAGAGTTTTCCGGCCGGATCAAAACGTTTAACCCACCTATGCGCAGTCTCAAGTCTGTGGACCCTGAAGAAAGATAAGTAACATCCCAATCAAATCAAGACAAAGAAAGAAGAAAATGAATGAAGAAACCAATGCAGCAACAACAAATGACATCCGTCCGTCCGTCTGTCCGTCCAGGCAATAACTCAAATACCGTTGGCCCGATTTTGTTCATATTTTGTACACATATACCCAATGGGGGTAGAAGTTCTGCTCGAAAACCGATTTTCAAAATGGCTGCTCATTTAAAAATGGCGGCCATTTTAGTGCCGATTTTATTGTAATTTAGGTACTGCTTATAAAACTGTAATAGCAATATGTTTTAAATGTAAAAAAGTTATATAGGACATTGATTAAGCTAGAAATGTAAATATAGAAGAAATACATGGCAGCCATCTTGAAAAATGGCTGCCTTTGCACGTCATTTTTCGATTTTTGCTGTAACTTGAAAAGTTGTGGAGCGATTTTGTTCATATTTGGTATGTGAATACTTTAAGCATGGCACAATGTCTAATGACATTTTTGGTAGTAGGTGGCCATTTTGAAAAATGGCCGCCATTTTTACGTGTGTTATCTAACATTTTTACTGTAAGTCAAGAAGTAGTGGAGCGATTTTGTTCATATTTGGTATGTCAATGCTTTAAGCATGGGACAATGTCTAATGACATTTTGGGTAGTAGGTGGCCATTTTGAAAAATGGCCGCCATTTTTACATGTGTTATTTTACATTTTTTACTATAACTCAAAAAGTAGCAGAGCGATTTTGTTGATATTTTATATGTGAATACTATAAGCATGGCACACTGTCTAATGACACTTTGGGTAGTAGGCGGCCAAAATGGCTACCATTTTTACGTTTTTTACTATAACTTGAAAAGTATTGGAGCGATTTTGTTCATATTTGATATGTGAATACTCATGAGCCTAGCACACTGTCTCATGACACTTCACCAAGTTGGCGGCCATTTTAAAAAATTGCTGTCATTTTTACATTTTTTTACTATAACTCGAAAAATATTCGAGAGATTTTGCTCATATTTGATATGTGAATACTTTAAGCATGGCACATTGTCTAATTAAACTTTGGGGAGTAGTCGACCATTTTGAAAAATGGCCATCATTTTTATGTGTGTTATTTTACATTATTATTATAACTCATAAAGTAATAGAGCGATTTTGTTCATATTTGATATGCGAATACTCGTAAGGATTGCATACTGTCTTATGACATTTTGAGTAGTAAGCGGCCATTTTAAAAAATGGCCAGCATTGGCAATCTTTTAAGAATTTTATATGTGGCTACTTAAAAGCATATTACTTCTGATGACAACTTGGCTAGTGATCAACCAATTTGAAAATGGTGGCCTTTCTTATGGGTGTTATTTTATGATATTTGCTATATATTTCGTATGTAAAAATGCCAGCCATTTCTGTTCGATGGGATTAGCTACGCTTTGGCGTTGCTGTTGTTCTGGTTTGGATGATGAAATTATAAAAATTATAAAATTTAATGTTATTCTTTCTACTTCTAGGTGGCTGAACCCACTTTTCAATGTTGGCTACAAGCGCCCTCTGGAGGAAACTGACATGTTCAATGTCTTACCCGAAGATGATTCTGAAAATCTCTGCCACAGACTGGAAGTGTAAGTATTCAAGAATTCTTTTTTTATTCAGCAGTTATTTATTACATATATTTAATACAATACATCTAATCCGCTGGATATCTTTCTGGTGTCAAACTACAATATTTTGTTACAATATTTTATTATGTCACCACCAAAAGTGGTGACATATTGTTATGGTCTCCATTTTTTTGCGACAGCGGTTGGTGGTTGGAGGTTGGCGTCCGGCGTCCGGCGTCCGGCGTCTGTAACAATTTCTTACAACTTCCTATAACTTAACAAATACTGTTTAGATTGACTAAATTTTTTTTCAAAATCATCTACATGTTCTCAGAAATTCAAATCTGACTTTAGATTTGACTTAAGATTTAACATTTGACCTTCAAATCTGACTTTAGATTTGACATTTGACCTTCAATGACCTTCTCAAGGTCAAAAAAGGTCAAAAAGGTCTGTTTTCAACTTGCTTCAAATTGACTAAATTTTTTTTTCAAAATCATCTACGTGTTCTCAGAAATTCAAATCTGACTTAAGATTTGACATTTGACCTTCAATGACCTTCTCAAGGTCAAAAAAGGTCTGTTTTCAACTTGCTTCAAATTGACTAAAAAAAATTTTCAAAATCATCTACGTGTAACCATGGGGCGAGGGACAACACATGGGAACACGAAAATGATGTACAACTATAAAACACTGATTTATTTCAAAATATATATGCAAATTGAATAAAATATCTGGTTTAAAGTGACAATCTAGCTTAAAGTGAATAGCTAGCTTAAAATGAATATCGAGCTTAAATTGAATACTATCTAGCTTAAATAACCAAAATCTATCTGTCTAAATGACCAAAATCTATCTGCCTAAATGACCAAAATCTATCTGCCTAAATGACCAGGCCACCCGCTAGGGCACCCACTCTTGACCCTGAAATGTAAAGAAATATATTAAGGTACACGTAAGGCATTCAATACAATGTAATAATCTACAGTTTTACGATAAAACCAGTTAGTGAGAGGGCTGTGGAATTAAAAAGGGCCCTTGTTATGTTTCCAAAATAAACCCTAACACAGTGCTTGATACACTTTATAGATTATAGTTACCATATCAAATATAATGAAATTAAATGGATTTAATAGGACATCACCGTGAAGGTTTACAATAATAAAAATATAAAAGTACCTAAATATATCTCAACAGGGTGGTGAGTATTAGCACTAGAAAGCCCACTGGTAGACCCGTGGCTATAAAATAAGTATGGCAAGATAAGTCATATTACCAAATACTTGTCACAAATAACAATGTAGGGATACTATCTGTTTATTGACAAAGAATGTAACTTTATGAAATGTCTATATGCACAAATGCCAAAACTGTCATGATGGTGAAAAATAGAAATACTCAAGTAAATATCTCAAAAAGTATTCAAAATACATAAATAGTATTTACACTAGGTTGAAGCTAAAGTTATGTGGAAATTACCCTGTCTTGAGAACTTATGTTAAATTCAAAAATGTCTTTGAAAGAGAGAGTTATTTAAATATCCAAAATAAAAATTACAGGCAAGCAATTTGTAGATTTAGGCTAAGTTCCCACAATTTAAAGCCAAAGCCAAAACCTGTAGATGAACGTTTATGTAATATTTGTGGTATTTTAGAAGATGAACAACACTTCATCATGATTTGTAAGAAAAACACTACAGAAAGAAAAATTTTGTTTGACACCCTTATACAATTTAATTTTGTAGGCAGTCCTGACATTATTTTTAAAAAACTAATGTCTCACAAAAATTCTTATGTAATTTTACATTTAGCAAAGTTCATCTATCATTCACTCAAAAAATTGGATTAATGTGTCAACGATGCATCACACTGATATTTAAATTTCTGTCAAGTTATATTTGTATTTTACAATTATCTTGTATTCTGTATTTTACATTTGATGATGTAATTAGATTTGACAATTGTATTTGACAACAACTTTATTTTTGTATTCAATAGTTACAGTGCTGGTATATATTAATTGATCAGTCGTTTAATTGGCATATTTTCTTGAATTTTAACATTTAATGTCCCAAACTCCCACAAACTGCAGAAAAGTATACCCCATAAATCATATTTACCAAAATGAGTGTCTCCAAGGCTTCACACCAGCGTATGCATAATGCATTTTTCACGAGTTTGAGCTGAAATTTCGCCAAAATGAAGTAGGCTAAGGGTAGTCTCTGCCAGGTTTGTTTATTGTGGTAAGCTTGTAAGTGCTCGGAAGCAAATAATTCACGTGCGCAAAATAATCAAATAATCTAATTGGTCTAAACTTTGCTGCACATGCGCACAATGTGTGCCATGTTTTTTCTAGTGATTTCGTTTCGTTTCATGGAGTTTGCGTTTCAGTGTAACTTCCGCAAAAATGGCCGACCATGGACAGAATTAACAGGTAAAATAACTTCGAAATTTCAAGAGAACTTTTTACCTATAATTGCAAAACTTTTGTTTTATTTGTGCATTCTATCTATCAGATAAGAGTTTCAGGGGTATCTAGGCAAATTCATTTTGGTAGGAACACTCTTTTTAGTTTGAAAACGCACCCTATATTATTATATATCAGCACTGTAGTTTAGTCTTAGGTCAGTTTTGTAGATTGTAGTTTTTAGTGACTAATATGTCATTGTAATGACATCAGAGAGTCAATAAAAGATATATCTATATAATAAAGTAGAATTGACAAATATAATATTGAAATATTCAAAAGGGACAAAAAGTGGATAAAATGATGAAATATTCTTACCAGGTCCTGGCTGTTTGAAAGTTGAGGCTAATACTGAAGAAAACATGTGAAGTGTGAATGAAAGTTAAGCTCCCAGCAGGGTTTGATTATCTTATAGAAAACTGTAAAATGAAATATTTAGCCCTCCATAACAGGGTTATTGAAAATATAAAAATCCGAATGTCACATACGTGTTCTCAGAAATTCAAATCTGACTTTAGATTTGACTATAGATTTGACATTTGACCTTCAATGACCTTCTCAAAGTCAAAAAAGGTCAAAAAGGTCTTTTTTCAACTTGCTTCAAATTGACGAAATTTCTTTTTCAAAATCATCTACATGTTCTCAGAAATTCAAATCTGACTTTAGATTTGACATTTGACCTTCAATGACCTTCTCAATGTAAAAAAGGTCAAAAAGGTATTTTTTCATCTTGCTTCAAATTGACTAATTTTTTTTCAAAATCATCTACATGTTCTCAGAAATTCAAATATGACTTTAGACTTGACTTAAGATTTGACATTTGACCTTCAATGACCTTCTCAAGGTCAAAAAAGGTCAAAAAGGTCTTTTTTCAACTTGCTTCAAATTGACTAATTTTTTTTTCAAAATCATCTACATGTTCTCAGAAATTCAAATCTGACTTTAGATTTGACTTTAGATTTAACATTTGACCTTCAAATCTGACTTTAGATTTGACATTTGACCTTCAATGACCTTCTCAAGGTCAAAAAAGGTCAAAAAGGTCTGTTTTCAACTTGCTTCAAATTGACTAAATTTTTTTTCAAAATCATCTACGTGTTCTCAGAAATTCAAATCTGACTTAAGATTTGACATTTGACCTTCAATGACCTTCTCAAGGTCAAAAAAGGTCAAAAGGTCTGTTTTCAACTTGCTCCAAATTGACTAAAAAAAAATTTCAAAATCATCTACGTGTAACCATGGGGCGAGGGACAACACATGGGAACACGAAAATGATGTACAACTATAAAACACTGATTTATTTCAAAATATATATGCAAATTGAATAAAATATCTGGTTTATAGTGACAATCTAGCTTAAAGTGAATAGTTAGCTTAAAATGAATATCGAGCTTAAATTGAATACTATCTAGCATAAATAACCAAAGTCTATCTGTCTAAATGACCAAAATCTATCTGCCTAAATGACCAAAATCTATCTGCCTAAATGACCAGGCCACCCGCTAGGGCACCCACTCTTGACCCTAAAATGTAAAGAAATATATTAAGGTACACGTACAACATATACATAAGGCATTCAATACAATGTAATAATCTACAGTTTTACGATAAAACCAGTTAGTGAGAGGGCTGTGGAATTAAAAAGGGCCCTTGTTATGTTTCCAAAATAAACCCTAACACAGTGCTTGATACACTTTATAGATTATAGTTACCATATCAAATATAATGAAATTAAATGGATTTAATAGGACATCACCGTGAAGGTTTACAATAATAAAAATAAAAAAGTACCTAAATATATCTCAACAGGGTTGTGAGTATTAGCACTAGAAAGCCCACTGGTAGACCCGTGGCTATAAAATAAGTATGGCAAGATAAGTCATATTACCAAATACTTGTCACAAATAACAATGTAGGGATACTATCTGTTTATTGACAAAGAATGTAACTTTATGAAATGTCTATATGCACAAATGCCAAAACTGTCATGACGGTGAAAAATAGAAATACTCAAGTAAATATCTCAAAAAGTATTCAAAATACAAAAATAGTATTTACACTAGGTTGAAGCTAAAGTTATGTGGAAATTACCCTGTCTTGAGAACTTATGTTAAATTCAAAAATGTCTTTGAAAGAGAGAGTTATTTAAATATCCAAAATAAAAATTACAGGCAAGCAATTTGTAGATTTAGGCTTAGTTCCCACAAGTTACATATAGAACTTGGTCGTCATTTAAAGCCAAAGCCAAAACCTGTAGATGAACGTTTATGTAATATTTGTGGTATTTTAGAAGATGAACAACACTTCATCATGATTTGTAAGAAAAACACTACAGAAAGAAAAATTTTGTTTGACACCCTTATACAATTTAATTTTGTATGCAGTCCTGACATTATTTTTAAAAAACGAATGTCTCACAAAAATTCTTATGTAATTTTACATTTAGCAAAGTTCATCTATCATTCACTCAAAAAATTGGATTAATGTGTCAACGATGCATCACACTGATATTTAAATTTCTGTCAAGTTATATTTGTATTTTACAATTATCTTGT